CGTCGGGAATTCTGTCGGGAATTCTGTGGGGAACGCCGGGAATGTTGGGAATTGCGTGGGGAATGTCGGGAATTCCGGGAATGTTGGGAATTCCCGCTCCAGGAATGTCAGGAATTCCGGGAATTTTGGGAATGTCGGGAATTCCCGCTCCGGGAATGTCGGGAATTCCGGGAATGTTGGGAATTCCCGCTCCAGGAATGTCAGGAATTCCGGGAATTTTGGGAATGTCGGGAATTCCCGCTCCGGGAATGTCGGGAATTCCGGGAATTTTGGGAATTCCCACTCCAGGAATGTTGGGAATGTTGGGAATTCCCGCTCCAGGAATGTCGGGAATTCGGGAATGTCGGGAATTCCCGCTCCGGGAATGCTGGGAATGTTTGGAATGTTGGGAATGTCGGGAATTCTGGGAATGTTGGGAATGTCGGGAATTCCCACTCCAGGAATGTCAGGAATTTTGGGAATTCCCGCTCCAGGAATGTCGGGAATGTCGGGAATTCCTGCTCCGGGAATGCTGGGAATGTCAGGAATGTTGGGAATGTCGGGAATTCCGGGAATTTTGGGAATGTCAGGAATTCTGGGAATTTCGGGAATGTTGGCAATTCCCACTCTGGGAATGTCGGGAATGAGGCCGAATTAGGGAATTTTGGGAATTCCTGGTCCAGGAATTTTGGGAATGTTGGGAATGTTGGGAATGTTGGGAATGTTGGGAATGTCGGGAATGTCGGGAATTCCCACTCCGGGAATGTTGGGAATGTTGACAATTCCCACTTTGGGAATTTTGGGAATGTTGGGAATGAAGAGGAATGTTGGGAATGTCAGGAATTCCCGCTCTGGGAATGTTGGGAATGTCAGGAATGTTGGGAATTTGGGAATTCCGGGAATGTCAGGAATGTCGGGAATGTCGGGAATTCCCACTCTGGCAATGTCGGGAATGTTGGGAGTGCTGGGAATTTTGGGAATGTTGGGAATTTTTGGAATTTTGGGAATGTCGGGAATTCCCATTCTGGGAATGCCGGGAATTTTGGGAATGCTGGGAATTTTGTGACGTTGGGAATGTCAGGAATTCCCGCTCTGGGAATTTTGGGAATGTCGGGAATTTTGGGAATTCCCGGCTCTGGGAATTTTGGGAATGTTGGGAATTTTGGGAACGTTGGGAATTTTGGGAATTCCCGCTCTGGGAATTTTGGGAATTTGGGGAATTTTGGGAATTTTGGGAATGTTGGGAATGTCGGGAATTTTGGGAATTCCCGCTCTGGGAATGTTGGGAATGTCGGGAATGTCGGGAATTGCCGCTCTCGGGGCTCACCTGATCCTTGGTTCTCCCCTCGCGCTCCCGGATGTGCGTGCTCACGATCCGCTCCGTCTCCTCCCGCAGCCGCGGGTACGAGCCCAGCTGGGAAAACGGCAAAAATCCCGGAAAAATCCCGGAAAAGTCCCGGAAAAATCCCGGGAAAATCCCGGAAAAGTCCCAGAAAAATCCCGGGAAAGTCCCAGAAAAATCCCAGAAAAATCCTGGAAAAGTCTGGGAAGAGCCATGGGGGATGGGCTGAGACCGATCCGGAGGGGATCAGGATCAG